GAATAAAAATAGCAATGGCGATTTAATCAATATGATTCTGGTGAAGAAATAGATTAGTAAGTTTTTTATATTTTTTTATACAATTCAAACACAAATTAAACCAATATACTTATCTGTTTATATATGTTAATATGTGTCAGAGATACTAGCTCCGCTATAAAGCTCGATAATTAATTTTACCTTTTATTTTATGCTTTAGAATGGGGCATTTCATATATATAACTTCTATGCCTGAACTGGATGCAGAAGAATTACCTAAATTACTGTCCAAAGTATCTGAATTGGAAGAAGTATCTGAATCTGTAGAATACTTGACCTTATTTTCTTGCTCTTATTTTTAGAAATATCGTTATTTAATCTTCTGGATAGTGGGGGTACGGGAGGTATGTTACGAAATATTCCATGACGCCTCTTTTGTTGCTTATCATCTTTGCTTCTGAGAGACAATTTCTTGAACATATCCGTAGTTTCCTCTAGAGCTAGATCGAGCGCTGATTTCATTGAATTGAATGGGTTTTTTTAGTGGAGCTGGCTTTATGACTTTTTGAGTTACCTATGGGCCTGCTACCTTCTTCGATTAATGGGATGCTCATACCATCTATTACAATTTTAGCATAAAAATCATTGATTTCAGAAGAAAATCTGAAACCTATTTTTGCTTTATGCATCTATAACCAATCCCTCTCTAATACCAGATCAAATGGTAGATTTTTGCGAATTTGAAAGTCTATTACTTTGGTACCATCTAAACTTCGCCACTTTACTTTATAGCAAAATTGCAAATCTAAACATTTTATTTCACCTATTACATCCCCATAGAGATTCTCAACAGGATCACATATTCTATAATCTTCTTTAAGCTTATCGAACAAGCTCTTGCTAATAGTATTAAACTTTGACGATGTATCAATTAATGCTTTTACTGGGATTTACCCCTCTACGAGTATATTTACAAACATATTAAGTATATTTAATAATGTATATTACTGCGAAAAAATAACTCAGTAAATAATTACCCATTCTTCAGTAATAAATGTAATTATTTATAACTCGCGTTGGAGGATTCTCTCTGAGATAATTAACAATTGCAGAAATAAGATCTGTTTCATCTGATGTATGACTCAAATAGTAGTCTCTAAAGGACCTGGTTATAGCTATCCCATTTTGTCTACCGGTAAAGATTGGAATAAGTGGAGGTAAATCAGAATCAGAGAATTCATCATCGGAATAATCTGGATGTTCGATTTTAATTTTCAGATTGAGATTTTTCAGCACTTCATTTCTAATCCTTCTACACCCCTTCAAACTAAGATATTTCAAATTAGTACAGTTGCCGGCTATCTCCTCGATAGCTTCATTACCAATTGAGCAATCACCAAGCTCAAGATGTCTAAGTTTTGAGCATGAGCGAGTAATTTCAGTGATACACCGATTAGTGAGGCATATATATGAATTAAGACTCAGATGCTGTAGTTTTAGAGAAAATCTCGCAATTTCTATAATTGGTATATTAGTGAAACCCTTACTTTTATCAAGAATGAGAAAGCGTATATCTGGGTATAAATGCAAAATTGCACTGATCAATGCATCTGAGATTTTCAAACCTTCTAATCTGAGATATACCATCTTGAAGCAATAGGTTGGCTTTATTTTTCTACGCATAACTCTTTCAAAGTTTATCAATCGCCGAATAAGAACCTGAGACATGTTTAGGGCACGCCGGCTTTGCTGATAATCCTCGTTGAAAAACTCAATGCGACACCATAGAATAGGAGCACCGCAGTGATACCAAAGGTGGTTGATGAATAAAGCAGGATAGAGGGATCGATCGATTTCTAAAAAATATAAGATCTGTTCTAGCAATTCTGGTAAATCAAAAATATTTAGTTGCGCCATTCTTAAGTTGTATATTATATATCTTTAATCGAAAAAATAACTAATGTTCGAATAATTAGTTTAGGCGTATTTTTAAATTAGTATTAATAAATAATTTAACATTTACAATGACTGAAGCTGATAGAACCGTATCCCATATTACTAAACAGGTATCAGGTAAAAAAATCTGGATCTCTCTTCACCGATTACTGAAAATAGTGAAACCTGAGATTCAGCAGAATATTATAAACTCGATAGCAAACCCAGATATTTCTCAAAGAAATTGTACACCATGTGAGATTAAAAGAAAATGCAATACTAGAAAAAAACTAATTTTTAATAATACCGTATCTGAGTCCTCGTCTGAATCTTTATCTTCATCTGAGTCCGGGTTCAACTCTGAATGGGATAAAAGCAATTAGTAATTATATAGGTCAATGATATCCTCGACCTCACTATTTTCTTGTTTAGGTGCTGGGGTATTTGGTCTGTTATTCATTACACCATAATGTTCAACTAATAAAGCATGACCTATTTTATATCTACATGCCAATTTCCATAAATATTAACAGCAGGAATCATTCCTACCTCCATGTACTCTGGAAGCATGATCGGCACCTATTTTTCTTAACATATATAAGGTAATTCTATGCCGACTTAAGAATTGATTAAGAGGTGCAACATTAGTATTCCCATCCTTATTTTTTAACAAGAAGGGAAATTTATCCAGTATTGATCTCTGAATCCAGATAAGTAATTCTCTTGCTTGTATTGGATTTTTTTCTATTGAAAGGAATGGCCGGGGTTCTTCTACCTCACCTTTATTTTTTGCATAACCAATACAGTACCAAGAATAGTCAGGATTATACCATGACTCGCGACTTGGTTTGTATCGGTTGATACGAAAATTTTTCACATCTGCTGATCACATACATAGCATTATCATTACGTCTATTAGATTTTGCATTGAAGGAGGCTTGGTAGTATCATATTCGCTAAGTCTTTCCTAAACCTTTTCCAGGTAAAAGAACTCAGGACAATCATAACCATTAATTCCACGAAGTATACGCTTTCTTGCTTGAATCTGATTTGCTTCTTCAGTAATAAAGAGTATTTTCGTTACCTCAATGATAAAATAATCAGCTCCTAAGCTACGCAATTTTTTCTGTAATAAATTAAGATGAGAATTTCCCGCAACAGTAGTGGGAGCAGAAGAAGCCAACTCATATGCTATTCCATTTATTTCTTCAGGTGAGAGATTATTTTTTATAATATCTTGGGCAATAATTTTAATGGGATCTCTTTCATCAACATGTCTCCCAGGAGCTC